TAAATAAAAATAAAAAATCACACATTTCCCCCTTTCTTGCTTTCTGTCATTTTCTTTCTGATGCTGGTCCAATACCTAAGTGTGCTTAGCAAACATGCCTGCTTTCATGGAACTTAACTCAGAAAGACAAGACTCTCCCTCTTCATTTTCCCACTTTTTTTAAACTGTGATTTTTTTTCAATTGAGATTTACAGCTTGTATGCCTGATTATTTTTCTTTGAAAGTGTAATAAAATTGTCCTTGAACCTCCTTCAGTGTTCATTTCAAAATTCTTTCACTAACATGATTAAGAACTCAAAAGAGAACCCCGATTTCCATGGTAACAGCAATACATATTGAGGAATAAAAACACAAATATTCAGAAGGCAGCTTGACAACAGGTTGTTTACAACAACAGCAAAAACTACAGCAGTAGGTGGTGCCCTTTCAGGGCCTATCCCCTTTCCAGCCATGGAAGGGTTTTGAACCGGTGTACAATACCAGGCATGGATTCCTTCCTGTGTACCTGAACTCAAATACTTCCAGAAAGCCATTGATTAGCCCTATAACATTTGTGTTACTATTATACTGGTTGTTTTAGTGCATGAATAATGGAAAAACTGTACAGGAATTCTACTGGCCTTTGAGTGGAATAATGATAAAGCATAGGATGGGACTGGAGAGCAAAGTATAACTTTATGTAAACATTAGGGTGACACAAACCTGATCTTACCTGCTACATACAGGTAGATTTGGCACTGACAGGTAGATTTGGCACTGTTATTCCATCTTCACGGCATAGCACACAGGGAATATGTGAGTAGATGAAAATTCAGGTTTATTGCACTTACTGGTCTCTGTACCCAACCATTATGAACAAGACATAGATCCCTGGTATCTTAGTCTATTTTGTGTTATTTTATACTGCAAATTCTCAGACAGCATAGTTGACAAGAAACAGAAATTTATTCTTAAAGTTCTGGAGGTTGGGAAACCATTTGATGATGCTTTGTTGCTGTATACATGTGTTAACAATGGCTGGGGGCTGGGTAGGGTGTTTTTCAAGTTGTTGACATCTTTATTAATTGAAGCAAAAGCTCACATGGATTGCAAATAGCAGGAAAACCTTAGTCAAAGTGAAGCAACAGGACCAATGGGAAAGCAATGTGCTGTCAGGAGGAATAATGGGCTGTATTTGTGAAGATAGTCAAATGTCCCAATTTTTGTTTGGGAATTACTTAAAAGTAATTTTAAGTATTTTCAATTAAAAGTAATTTTAAGTGACTTTAAAGTATTTAAAAGAATAATAAAGAGAAAGATGCCATGAAATTAACAGTGTGTGTGTGTGTGTGTGTGTGTGTGTGTGTATGTGTGTGTGTGTGTGTGTGTATGTATGTTTTGAGGGGGTGATACCATAAGAGTTGGAGGCAGGAAAGTGTTAGGTGGAAGTGATGAAAATACAGTTGTCATATAGAATTCACAAAACAAAAAGCAATAAAAGTCATAGGTAAAGATGCCATTTCCTGTAATTAAAAGCTGGCTTATGTGCCTTTTATTTCTACATATGTATATGACTTCTTTTTCCTGTACTTAAGTCTTTATGAACATCCTTTCAGTGGTGTCCAGGTTTTCAGAAGGAGGACTCTTGTGAAGTTTCCATAACTGAATCATAGTTGAGGTGTCTAGTACCAGCCCTGACGATCCTGAAGAAAAACACAAAAGATAAAGTTAGATAAGTTGTGAAGTAGTTGGCCACAAATGTCCATCTTTATTCATGATGTCACCAGGACTCATTTATGTCTCTTTTCTTGTTCTTGCCTATCTCCTTGGATTTTACCCATGGGGTCAGCTTTCTTCCCTTGCTTTGGACCATGAAACTATTTACCCTTGCACAGCTTGACCACAGCTAGAGGAGCAGGGCGTGCCACTGGGCCATAGGACAGTTCCCAAGGCAAGTGTTGCATGGGAGGCTCTCATTGGGCTGGAGGGTGGGAGGAAGGTACAGAAAGCATACCTGTGTGGGGAATGTCTGAGTGATGGCGCTTAGAACTAGGGAGACGGAACTTTTTTGAGAAATGAAGGAAGTTGTTAGGAGCAGATATTCTTGCTATTCACTGCTGGTATAGTACAGACTCAAAAGAGCCTAGAGCCAGATCGCATATGATTATCTTCACAATGAATGAACTAATCACGAAGTTTCATAGATAATAGCATAATTTAAATGAATATTGGTGGATTGGATGGCCGTTCAAGATGCATTATATGACTTTTAAAGCATATGGATATGTATCATGTGATCTAATCTTGTAGGAAAATGCTGTATATGTGCAACAAAAGACAAAATTCAAAGGAAGAGATACTGTATTTGAGACAGATTTCAGTACTTAAAGGTTTTATTTTAGTGTTTTTTTTGTATATCACTTCTTTCTTATATTTTAAAAGATGGTGTTATCAGCTCAACTCAAAATAAATGAAAAATAATTGGTGGTTGATTCTGATTGGCCATGTGTTTTTTACCCGAAGATAACACTTCCTTTATGCATGGAGGGAAAAACAGAAATGACAGCCAAAATAAAAGAGAGATAAACAAATGGTTAATTGTAGTCCTGAAAAAGCAGAGTTGGTTAGGTGCTCAAGGAATCACAGATTTTAGTACACAAGAATTAAAATGAACTGAGGGCACAATCTCAAAGTATATATTTAATCAAAATTAGTGATTTAGTTAAATAAAGGAATATATATCATCCAGTAAATTGTCCCCCTGTATGGTGTTCCTGGAAGCACTTGCAGATCCTGGAGACAATGGAAAGATGCTAGAGGCACTGGAATATACGGCAGGAGGGTAAGTTAAATGTGCCCTGAAAGAATGGACTGCACAGTCTGAGTGTCATGGAGTAGAGCTCTAGATCAATTGGTAGATGCTTGAGTAATATTCACAAAACCCAATCAAGACTCATTCATGGATCTGGCTAGGTTCAAGTCTTTTAAATTGTCATGTTATAGTTCTGGCTAAATAAAACTATCACACAAACAAGAAACATTTTTATATAAAGTGACAAATATATTTTGGGTTTCTAAATATACTTTTCTAAATGTTCAAGAGGTTAAAAATTTAAGATTCTAAATTTTGCTTCAAAAGTAACAGGTAATTTACTCAAAAAAACACTTGCAAATTCCTGGCTTCTTTGTATATTGATGATCCCTTGGGGTTCAAGTCTGATAAAATACAAAGCTTAGAAAATAGCTTTACCAGACTGCTGACATTCAAAGCAAAATTATTATCAATAATGACTTTTCTTCAAGGATTATGCATGTTTATAATTATATTAGGTGCACTATTTAGGAACACAAGTAGTTAGATATGCCCAAGAGCTGCGTATTCCAAATAATGCCACTGTAATAGTTAAAGATCACTACAGGTTGGTCACTTTAAGAGTCTTGATACATTGTTATTATGCAATAAAAGAACCAGACTTTTCAAATTGTGGCCTGTGTCTCAAAATATATACCTGATGAATCATCATATTAATTAAATTAATAAATGAGAATTTAGATGAGAAGACTTTTGTTCAAGATTATGATTATTGCACTTATATTAAGAAGGCATCTGAGTGGGAACAGGAAGGTGTTGCTTTTGATGCGGGAATAGCTGGGAGGGTTTGCTGGAGCTTCGGAGGGATCTGTACTAGTATCTGATATGGTTAAACCTCAAATTTCCTGTTTGTTGTACTATCACTAGTACAACGAATTTTGGTTGAGTTCTTTCTTTTCTGAATGAAAAAAGACTTAAATACCTTATGTCTGGATTATGGTTTTCAGTCACACAGAACAATATATCTTTTTCCTGTCTATCTTTTTGTAGAGAATCT